CCCTCGGCGTCACCCGACTGACTGTATGAGCGTTCTGTTCAACTGTTAAGCTAGGATTTATTACCGTTATTATCATTATATTGTCACGTGATTTGTTTTACCTTATGTGTAATGTCTTAAGTATCTTTATTGTAATTTGTATATACCAATTCGTATATACCGAGGAAACGACCCCGATTGAAGGTCATGTATTTTATGACGTCACCAATTCGTGTGTAGGTACTGCTTCTAGATCTGTGCCAATATTTAACACACATTTAACAGGTAACCCAAATCAGAATTCAATACAGTAAAGCATAACAGGATTTTAGGTTGTCTAGAAAAAAATTCAGCATTTGACGCGCATAATTTACAAATACGGTGTTTACTGAAATACGTTCTTGGCGTAATTTCGTTCATTGACACTTTTGATGGCGTTTGTACAAACCAAAGACAATAATGTCTTTGTATGAACTTGCTGTAATGAAATCATGCTTATTAACACCATGGGAAGGAAAGCAGCTTTGTGATTGGTCAACATTGTGCGTTTGAATGCTCACTTTTGAATATTCGCGATTTACAAAAAAAAAATAAAAAAACATTTTTCGTGTGTAAATTTTTATAACAAATACGTCAATATTGAAATCCGAATGGCGACCGAATCTGTGAATCGACTATATATGCTACAATTCCAGACGCTTTATAGCTTTACCTCATTTTCGTCATCCCAATTACTGTATTCATTGTATTCACCGTATAATTCGTCGTCCATCCTCTCAATTATTCTCCAAAATTACCAATATTGTCTTGAAGGAGTGAAAATTTCAACATAAGACAACACTCGTGTTGAAGTTTCTCATCAACAACTCTAAGTTCAGAGGTCATGGAAATCCAATCAAAAGAGGCTTTTCTTTTATTCATTGCTCCAATACGCGTTTTGTGATAGGCCAATTGTCAACGTGCCCTCTACGTACATGTGTACGTACACTCATCGTCGGTGTTGTTGTGTTTGAGTTGATTCTGTTCCTGATCTGATTTTCTATCTGCGAAATCCTCCACGTAATACGCCGCAATCATGGTAAGTTTTACTACAAACGATTGTTAGATATACATACTATTACTTCCAATGTCAATTTTTGGAAAAATTATTAATTTACAACGGATGTTTGAATGCAAATTCGTGTGACTGTGTATTTGTGAAAGTAAACGATGGCTTCACTATACACTGGCTTTGTTGATATACTTGTATTTTCGTAAAATGCGGGTATAATCAGCATTTTCCTTCTCTGGATGTTTTGCTAAAAGGGCAGTGTTCATCTTCGGGTTCTGACCTTAATAATGATCATTTTTAAATATATATACAAACCACTATTTACAATACTAGGGGAATCTTAGAACCTTGTCGCTTATTGCTACTCATTTTCTGCCAAGTTTCTCGCCATTCATTCGCCACTACAAATGAATACAACCCTGAAGTAATTTATTGAGCTGCTTTAGAAAGGGGAGATGATTTAACAAAGTTAGGTTGGTGTAACTGTAGGTATGAACACATAAATGCTTGGAAGTTTGCAAGAGCCTGTATAAAAAAAAAAAAACTGTATTGAACGTTCGTCGGAGTAGAGCAAACAATGGCTTAAGTGAATAAAAGTTAGTTTCTTTTCGGAAAAGATTTGGCCAGTAAAACAGTTATGGATGGTACATACAAGAAACAGGCTGGTATAAACAAATGTTGATCAAATGTTATCACCATACAGGTGAATGTATTGAGATCAACCTGCAATAAAACAGTTCCAGTGGGTGCAACAAGAAAAATTGCCAGCTTTATTCAGTGTGTTTAGAGGACAGTATTATCGCACATTGGTGTGTGGACAGTTAGGTCACCATTATATTTAGAGTGACCTCAGACCACTATTAAATTATTGGTCTGAGGAGTGACCTAACTCTACACAAGGGCATTTATTGTCCATTGTAAATAACAGCAATCTTATTAATTGGAGTGAGAACATGAGAGTAAGATTGATTGAATGCTAAATGAATTGCATCCTCATTGATTCCGGTAACACTTTTACAATGAAGAAACCGAAATGATCACAATAACATGCACATTTTATTACAATATTATTTACATTATTTACCATCAGAATTTACAGTGTAAAATTATTAAGTCAAAATCAAGAAATTCATCAGTATTTTTGTTGTTTTCGATTATACGTAAACAATTTCTGCCATGATGTTATTAAAAGATAGTATTTGTAGAGTGAAAAAGAAAGGTTCCTAGTATACCACAGTACATGATGTAATGAAGATTTTTTTATAATCTTAGTTGGAGGCATATGGTGGCATTAAAATGTATGAATTTAAAACAGATCTATTAGATTATCTGTAATCGGAATAACATCAATTTACTGTCATATTCAGTGTCAGAAATTTATCTTTATATTATCTGTTCATTCATTGTACTTTTCACTTTTTCAGACGGTGGGCAAGAGTTCCAAGATGTTGCAACACATCAACTTTCGGATGAGGATAGCCATTCAAGATGGCCGGATATTTATTGGGACTTTTCTTGCATTTGATAAACACATGAATCTCATACTTGGAGATTGTGAAGAATTCAGAAAAATTAAACCAAAAAACACAAAGCAACCGGAAAGAGAGGAGAAAAGAGTTTTAGGACTTGTTTTATTGAGAGGGGAACATTTAGTATCTATGACAGTTGAAGGACCTCCCCCTGCGGTGGTAAGTTTATACACTATAAAGAATTGACTGCTACACATTGCATTTTGCTAGTACTGCTATGGCTTGTCTGCTATGTTCTTTCCAGAATTGCAGGTAATTTGCATACTATACGATTCGAATATTTTGATTGAAATAATTAAATTAATGACCTATTGTGATAAAACGGTATAAGTGGTTGTTATCGGTGTTTACCATTTTTTCTCTTTGACTATTAAAAGTATCAGCAGTAATGTAAATGACAGGTGTTTTTTTGATCTAAATATGATGCATTTCAATGTTGTATCATACAATAAATGCAATTATTTAGTTTATTTAGACCTCTAATAGAGCAAATACAGTAAGTGTTCTATTATATGGTATAGTCACATGTGCGCAAATTATCAGTTGAATCGTAAGAGATAAGTTTATGCAATAAAGATTGAAGTCGCAGTTTCCTGTGATTTTATGGGATTTAAATTCACTTTATTCCATTAGCATAAGGTCCAAACTTCTTTGATCTTTGTTTGTATAAAGCTTTAATGCAGGTTATCGACACACATAATTTTTGCTCTTAGAGTATTTTGGAGGTTATTAGATTATGGCTCCTGGAAACCAGACACACCTAATCTGTGATCTAGTTTCAACTTGTTATTCAGAATTCTCAGGACTAGTCAAAAACGTTGAAAACGAGTGACTTCATTTTACTGGCATAAATAATGCGAAATGTAATTGATCAATGATTGTATGTATTCATATATATGTGCAATACTTACAGGAAGGTTTACCCAGAGTACCAATCCCTGGTGCTGCTCCTGGTCCTGGCATGGGTCGTGCAGCAGGGAGAGGTGTACCAGCACCATCATCACATGCGCCAGCGGGACTGTCTGGTCCAGTCAGGGGAATAGGTGGCCCATCACAACAGATTATGACACCACAAGGCAGGGGTGCAGCATATGTAAGTTCAATTTATCTAGTCTTGTGACTGCCTGCTAATGCCTGCTCACTGAATTTCATATTCCAGCCGAGCAGTTGATGTTCAATATGTCTTTCTAAATCTATACAAGAGTTATAGCCTTACCGTGGTGGCACAGTCATCATTTTGCACTGAAGAGTTGCATGTGTAGGAATACTGTAAAATACTGTATTTTCACATGGAATTAATTTTCGCTGAAGGAATGATTCAGTGAATATTAAATCCAGCGAATATATCTGTTCCTCTATATTTTACATTCAACTCATCAAAAATCAGTGAAAATGAATTCCATACAAAACACTAAAACAAATCTTTTCACCGAAAAATAATTACAGCAAAAGTATTTTACAGTAGTACATTTTGGGTGTTTCAGTACAGAATGTGGTACTTGTATTGCATATTTTGCTACTCGCTAATATTTTCTTGAATTCCGCAAGTTCTTGTAGCAATGTATGGTTATGTTAGTGGAACAGACAAGTATTGATGCCAAAACTTATTGCGTAATTATTGATGGTGATTTCCAAGAGAGCAAAATATAAATAATTTGTGTGCATTTAAAAAGATTAAATGAAAAGAAAAATTAGGGAAAAACTGGATATAAAGTTTGTGACATGAAAAACTCTTGCAACTGATAGAATAGATACGATTAATGAGCAAATTAGGTCACCTACCTGCCATGTTTGAAAACACTGCAACTACCACTATATACTATGCATTTCTTGTCTTGCATAATATTTACTATACATCTCTTATTTTAACTTTAGCTGCTCCCCCACAACAGTATGCACCACCAAGGCCAGGTGGACCACCTGGAATGAGAGGCCAAGGTAGGTGTCGCATGTCGTATTGTCATTGTTGCTAACAGCATGATGTTGTCACAACTGCATGCATTCAGATTTTGCGTAACAAACTAGTTGTTTACATTTTGCCTGTCATGCAAGTGACTGATAGCTGAATTACTCAAAGATCAGCTCCAGCTCACAATCTTTGATGACAACTTTGCCCATAAGTTGGTTCATTACCAGGGACAAGTATATGTAAATTTGACAGGCAAACCAATCACTGCATACGTACATGTGCACAAAACAAACAAATGTGACAACCTATGTTGCTATGTGTAGTATGGGCCCCTATTTGAATGCACACGGCTGTGACATCCTCTCAACTTAATATTATACACTTATTCATCAAAATATACATCGTCGGATGTATAATAGATGCATGGATGTTTATTGGTTAATTTTTTATATTTTTCAATCAATGCAATACTGAGCAAAAATTGTGGTTCCTCATTAACAACTGCGCAAGATAAAATATTAAAGCTGGAAATATTTACATTTGTAAGATAACCCTTTTCCGGTCAAGTCGATGAAAAACCGCCGTCAATATGGCAGGGTTCTCCCCACGCTGGACGGCGGTGGACGGCGCCGTCCGGCACTCAGAATTAGCGACCGGCACACGTGGCTGCCGTCCGGCACTATTGTTTTTGTCCAGGACGCAACAAACGCTCTGAGAGACAAAGAATGTTTGAGAGGGCAATAAGCTTGGGTTGTGTCACCAATTAAAAAAAACAATGGGCGTAAAACTCACTCAACGAGT